GCAGACTCTCACTCATCAATGAATAATTCAGGTCTGCAGCTGCAGCGTCCTGTTACAGCAGCAATACCAATACAGCTGATCAGCTTACACACACACACACACACACGGCTCAGATGTCACCTTCACATGTTGTCCTCATTCGGGTCCTGGGAGGAAGCAGCTGCTTCCAGGAGTATGGCCAAACCGTTCCGGAGGTGAGAGGCGGGACAGGTGTTTGTGATGCTGAAGCATCGCGTTATTTAGATGAAAATCACTGTGATGTGAAGTGAATTCAGTTTCATAGAAAAAATATTTGTTTTTGCTGCTTTTCTACTCAAGTTTATTCATTTAAGAATAATCAGTGCTGAACAAGAGAGTGAGACAGTCAACAGCGATAAAGGTACAAATACATAATGATAAGCAGCTCACATGTAAAACAGAAATAAGAAGAAACGACAGTGAAATGGAAAGTTAAAAATTACACCTTGAATAAGAACATTTTATAGAAAATGCTTAAAAACTGAGTTGAATAAACAGCTTATTAAAAAACGTCACAGAGGAGACCAAAAGTGTCCCGTCTGGGTGATCAGAGCGGGGTTGGCAGCTATTTCCTCAGCGTGCTGGGATTTTGACCCTCGTGCTAGATCTGATTGTGGGGCGGCATTTCTGGTCCGACTGGTTTCACCGAGGCCGGCGAGCTGGTCAGACTGGAAGCTGCAGGTCGGACTGAATAAAGCAGCGCCTCGTTCAAAGCTCTGAAGCTGCTCTTTGTTTACTGCAGCAGGAAACTTTACATCGAGATGCCAAAGATATTTACCTGCCACAGCTGACACACTCACGCTGTCGCAACATCATCATCATCACGTTTAGTTTAACTGGTCAAAGGAGCTTGCAAAGAAAAGCGTCTGGACTTCTTTAAGTTGCTTGAAGACGTTTCACCTCTCATCCGAGAAGCTTCTTCAGTTCTAAGGTCAAATGGTGGGGAGTCCCAGATATAAACCTAGTGGGAGTTTCCCCCCACAGAGATGGCAGAGAGTTGGTGTCGTAAACCCCCGCCTCTGCCATCTATAATCCAGTTCTGAGATCCTTCCCAGACGCCTTAACGCCCACTCACATCCTGGGCCATCTGACCTCAGGAATTCGCATGATAAGGTGGGGCCAGGTTTCACAATGAGCTCACCCGAAACTCTGGCTGATTGGGACCCACACCCAGTTTCAGACCTTGGCTCAGGCGATTAGAGGATCATCAGGGGGTCCTTTTGTCCCTCTGTGGGGGGAAACTCCCACTAGGTTTATATCTGGGACTCTCCACCATTTGACCTTAGAACTGAAGAAGCTTCTGGGATGAGAGGTGAAACGTCTTCAAGCAACTTAAAGAAGTCCAGACGCTTTTCTTTGCAAGCTCCTTTGACTATGATGACCTGGATTACTGAGAACCTTCACAGACATATTTAGTTTAACTGAGTCATCTGTGGTTACAGCCACAGGAAGTCAGCAGTTACAGCAGCTTCACTGAGAGACAAACAAACATGAAGCTGCTGTGATTCTGACGTTCTCTGCATCAGGATGACGCTGACACTTTCTGTGAGAGCTTCGTCATCAGGTCGGTCTTCATCCCGACTTTATTGTTGAGTGTTCGGTCACAGCTCACGGCTCAGAGCTTCGTAGGACCGCCTCCAGCAGCACATCACAGCTGGGGCTGAAGAAGGCTCTCAGGCTCCGCCTTCACAGCCGCCCTTTAATGAAGGAATTTAAAGAAAATACTCCAAAAGAACAAAGCGACTCTTTTCTGATCTTTAATACACGAAGAATGTCAGAGCCCGTTTAACCCCAGCTCAGCCTGTCAGGTCCACTCTTCTTCTTTGGTTTAATCCTGATTAGATCTCTGCAGCTCGCACGCCAGCAGGAGGTCACCTGAAGCACAGGTCAGGCCCAGTGCATCCTGGGACGTTGACGCTGTCGTTTTGGGCTGTTTGGTCACATTGAAACCTTTGAACAAACGACGTGAGCTCAGACCTTCGTCATCAGCATTTTATTGACTTTACAAGGCAGAAAAATGCGACACGTTTAAATATTTGGACGATAAATGATGTTAAAACGTTTTTGTCATCATTTGTTCTGTAAAATGATTTTCAGCTGTTTTAAGGTCAAGAGTTTTAAAACAAACATTAAAAACACGTTGAACTGTTTTCTGATTGGTTTGCTTACGCAGACACACTCTATCTCCACGGTGACCGTCACACACCTGTACAGCGTATTTTCATACACGCGGCGGCGGCTCGTTAAAGCGATGGAGCGTCGACGGCCTCGTGGTCAGTGCTTGGTCACGTTGAAAGCGAGCGCTGCCGCCGCGTCTGACCGACCTCACGCACAGGCGAGCGCTAAAATGGCACCTGTCACGTGATGACGTCAAACAAGAAGAGGAAGTGACACGCGATCCGCCATCTGAGCTCAGACGCCGACAGGAAGTGACCTTGCTGCTGCTGACGTGTGTTAAAGCTGTGGGTCACGGGTTTGAGTCCATGTGTCATCACTTCCTGCAGAATCAGCTTGTGAAAGAAGAAGTTCTCCTCCTGACGCCGAGTCAGCGTCTCGACCTCAAACACAGGTGACCTTTGACCTCTGACACACTTTTAAGGGAGTCACTGTGAAACATGTAGCAGCGTTTTATTATATCGAGTCAGCAGCACTGCAGGCGTTACAGTGGGAGTCCAGCTCGCCACGAACACGAGGATCCAGCTGTGGTGAGGAGGAGGTCCAGGTTAAAGAGGCGGGGCTTTAGAAGCGGTTTGTAGATAAAAACACTGATTTCCTGCTTATGTTCATCATTACAGCCACGATCAGACAGGAAGCTGTGTGTGCGTGCACGTGTGTGTGTGTGTGCGTGCACGTGTGTGTGTGCGTGCACGTGTGTGTAAACATGCTGCTCTCAGGACAGCTGAAGGTCTGCAGACTCTCACTCATCAATGAATAATTCAGGTCTGCAGCTGCAGCGTCCTGTTACAGCAGCAATACCAATACAGCTGATCAGCTTACACACACACACACACACACACACACACACACATATCACACACACACACATCAAAAATCAAGAACAATCATTCACACAGCCAGTACACACACACACACACACACACAGACGGCTCAGATGTCACCTTCACATGTTGTCCTCATTCGGGTCCTGGGAGGAAGCAGCTGCTTCCAAACTTGAATAAACTTTATTTAAACGGTGGACGCGAGCATGCGTTGCTCACACATGTTGTGTGCGTTATTTTCAGAGTTGTGTTTCTTGCAGTTTCCAGGGTTTATCGTGTCTTTGGCAGCTCGATCGTTGTCAGATGCAGATTAATGAATAAAAATGTAATAAAAGTCAGTCCTGTGTCGGGTCGACGGGCGGACGCCGACATAAATGCCACAGAAACTTTCTATTAATTACTGTGTTGTTAAAATGAGCGGTCACATGATAATACAGTGAAACGTATATTTAATGTCAGCTGAGGAGTAAAAGTCACAATAAAAATCAATGTACAGAAAGTTCAAACCAAACAATCAGGTTTGTTTCTGTCACGTGTCACGCTGAACTTCTCACGTGTGGGTCATTCAGGATGTTGTGCTGTTTTTGTGTGTCCCAGTGAGTGGGCGGGGTTTAAATAAAGTTATTTTGAATGTCTGTGCTCAGGTTGGGTCTGGTGGGGAAGCTGAAGAGGGTGGTGTTGTGGCTGCTGCTCGTCTACGTCTCCATTCCCTTCATCATCAAGCTGTGTCCGTCCATCCAGGCCAAACTCGTCTTCCTCAACTTCGGTGAGTCAGCGTGTCCCGAATCGGCCAATCGGAGCATCTGTGTGAGCAGGCGCTCCTTTATTTATTAAAACCTTTCGTAAACACGCAGTAAAAGAAACCTCGATGAATCATTTCAGACCCCGGCCGCCTGCCCCTCCCTGGTCTTGCTCTGGTCGAGGTCTCTTCCTGTTAAAGGGAGTTCTTCCTCCCCGCTGTCACGAGAGCTCCTGGGCTTCTCTTACCTGAGTGAATGACTAGTCTCGGTTAAAGAGCGTTCGTCGTCCAATCAGACGGCATCAAACAGTCCGTCTGACTCAGTGAAGTTTAGAAAAAGTGTTGGTCCGGTGATTGTCACAGACATCAGTCTGTCCACGTCACCTGCACAGGTGCACTGCAGAAGACAAAGTGCCACGCCCACATTTCTCCTTAAAAGGAAGGATGTGAAGGTGCAGCTCTGTTTCCTCGCGGTGATGGGGGGGCTAAAACTAGCAGCGAGGCTCAGGTGGAACCCACACAGCAGAGGGAGGGGCTAATTACCGTTAACTTGTAATGATGACAGGAAGCATTGTGGCTGGCGAGGAACCCTGTGTGTCAGTGAGCAGTCATGTGATCAGTATGTAACCTTTGACCTCCTGCCCCTCAGTGAGGATGCCGTACTTCATCGAC